TCTCTCTCTCTCTCTTTCTTTTCTCTAGATCTAATTGAAAAACCCAAACAAAAATCAAACTTTCTTTGCGGGGAATTGAGCACAGTGTCATCTTTCAGGGTTTCTTTCCATTAAGGTCAATGTTAATTCTGATGTCTCCCAAGGTAGCTCTTTCGACCCTCTTTTATTCATAACATTTCCAAAATTACATTAACTTCTTCCGTCTCTCTCTACCTAGGTAATAACAAAAAAGATAATGAAAAGCATGTGATCTTGAAAAGGATCTCTCTGGTTAATGTTAATTCTGGTGTCCCCCAGGGTAGTTGTCTAGACCCTAACGTATTTATACAGTTTCATTATAGGACATTACTCTATATTGCACCTTATTTCTTTCTCTTTGGAGCCCTTCGAAGATGGCACGCTCTTTACGGTTTCCGAGAGAGATTTACCTTCAAATCTCTCCAGGAAACTGTAAAGAGCGTGTCATCTTTCAAGGTTTCCTTCGTTGCACTGTGGGCTCTCCAAACCCTCTTAATAACTATATTGATCCAATTTAATAAGCGACACTAAATTTTCTCCTCTCTCTCTCTCCCTCCTTCCCCCTCTCTCTCTCTCTCTCTCGTCCCCTCTCTCTTTCTTTCTCCCTCTTTCTCTCACTATCTCCCTCTCTCGCTTGCTCTCGTTCTCTCTCTCTCTCTCTCTCTCTTTCTTTTTCTCTCCTTCTCTCACAAAAGTGACATCACACACCCACGCTATGGTTCCCTAGTTCATAATGATGTACTGCTCCTAAATCTCCATTACTCGGTCTGCCATCCATTAAATGAGAACATACTTCGATACCTACAGATAAATATTAACAACCTCCGATCTCCAATGCTGGCCTAGATTATGCTAACTATACATTAAGTGGTCATGCACTTTGCGTTCAAGTACGAACTGTTTTTTGTGAAAAAATGACTGACAATAATTAGCACTGTCAAAATGACAAATTGTCTTCCTGGATTTGAAAAAAGCAGTGAAGATTAAATATTATTTGTTTCTGTATTTCTCTATAGCTCTTTGTGTATATATTTTAAATATTTCATTCGTGCTTGGCCTACAGTGATTCCTTTGTTGGCAATTCTTACCCCGCTCAACCGGAAGAAATGCCCAAGCGTGTCCATTGAACGGTCAAAGTGACGCTGGCCATTTTCTTTGAGGATCGATAATAATAAAAAATAATCTAAACAATTAATTCTTATTCATGACTTTAGTAGTAACTTATGTTATAACATTCTTGTGTTTCGCATCAACAACAAAGTAATACTTACTACCTGTTGCACTAGATAAAACCATGTTCAAGGAATAAATACCGCCTGAGCTTCCAGGAATTCATAGCCCCTTTAGTCTTACGGATAATGTTTCTAATGTCAAACCAAATTTACGTAATTTTGTCCGTGGTGAATCGTATATCGATGCAAAGAGATATCCTAGTTTTATTTCATTTAGCGTAATTGTGGCAGAGATTTAAAAAAAAAAGAAGACTAAAAGACCATTACAAAATCAAGCACGTGACCCGAGGCCTTCCCCGTAGCTTGAATGTGTTCTAGCTGTCTAGATTCCCTTTACCCCTTGTATTTAAACCATGTTCAATAATACAAATTAGAAAATGTAAATATGCAGGCAATATTTTTTATCCATATTTTATTCGGTCACCGATGAACAGTTTTAGTACACTTTTTGTATATTTTATTACACTATCTTTAATGTTATTGTAATTTATTGCTCTGGTCGAATGCAATAATATTGACGCACGCTAGTTGTTCCTCCAATATTTGTCTTTCTGGAGAAGGGTGAACTCTTTCATTTTCCGCTTCATTATTCGGGCTTCTTTTGACATTGATGGTAAATTTAAAAATAAACACAACATGCGAAGCTCGATTCACAGAGCAACCCTTTGAGGTTACATTACGGGCTAAACAGAAAATCTATGGAATTACTTCAGTATTTTAAATTTGCTTGCTATCTCTGCTTTCATTCGTACATCTCTTCCTTCCGTTTTCTGTTTGGAAAATAAAGTCGTCGAGTTGGTGATTCAAGGTCTTTTTCTTGTCGCAATTTTACTACAATATTATCTGTTCTTCAATTTCAAATAGTAGGCAATCATCGAGAGAGAAAAATAGAAGCTTGTTAAATAGAACCTTCGTTTACATTAAGTTGCTTAATCCTACTATTTCTGTTTCTACTATCAATTTATGCCTCATTGCAGATTGATTAATTTTACGATTCAAAGGGCATACAATTAAAGTTTTCAAACAAAACTGTTACTAATACAAAAGGAATTAATGCTTTGACTTTTTAAGCTTATTTGTTTAAGCTAGCTGTGTTCGAGTGGATACGTCGCCGGACTGTCGATCACAAGGTCCGCGCTTCGAGTCCCGCCGCGGCACTAATGTCCTTTGGCAAGACATTGATCTACATTTGCCACACTCAACCCAGGTGATGTAAATGGGTACCTGGCAAGAATTAATTCCTTGAAATGTTGGAGCGCTGTAATGGCAGCTAGGCTAAAGCCGGGGTTATAATAAATGAGCCTCGGAACAGCATTTCTAGATAGACGGCGCTATAGAAATGCCTATTATTATTATTATTATTATGCCACACTCGACCCAGGTGAAGTAAATGGGTACGTTTGCAGGAATTATTATAGTAAAGTGCTCTACCACCGTAACAGCAGCCATTACATGTTAAAACCGGGGTAATAACAGAGTAGTGCTAGTTGAGTAAAGATTGAGAGACGTGTCATTCAATCAGTGCTTTAAAATGAATACCCCACTATCATTATCATCATTATTAATATCATTATTATTATCATTTTTTTATCATTATCATTATCATTATCATTATTATTATCTGCAATCATGGCTATTCATTTTCTGCTACCCTTTATTTACGTAATAAACGATATCATTGGATCGAAATAGTTCTTCTCTTCCCCTTACTTTTTTTTTCTTCAAGTCGGTGTGTACTAAAACCATGCTTAAAATAAGCTTTTGTCTATGATCCGCCTACGAAGATGCATGCATCTTGTTCAGACCAAAGATCAATCGATATTTGCAGATCGCTCGGTCAATAGCCCGATGCATGAGTTGCTATTACGCTAAGTGACTACCCTAAGTGATTGTTCAGTCAAATATAATTCATTCTCAGTCAAGAAAAGGCCCCTACAAAAAATACATTGCGAAAGGCCTATATGGCCTCATACGTTTTTGTCATGTGAGTTTTACGTCGAACGTAAATTTTCGGACGAACCCAAAATCGTGTTAACAATACTCTGGAGTTATATAGCGTTTGATACATCGACGACGGTCTCTAAGAGATATGCCATGGCCATCGCATTCAGGCTTGCCCGCACACAATGTATGCTCATTCTCCACTACCTGTGGAGCATTTCAGGTAGACGCCGTTTTACAGACGCTTACAATGCTGAGCAAACCTATAAAGACTGTCGCATCCTATACCGGGTCTACACATTTAACACCTGGGATGGAGAGTGGCAAAGGTAGATTATAATGTCGTGCCAAATGACGTTAGTACCGGAGTGGGATTCGAACCCTCAACCCTTAGATTGAGAATTGAGAATCAAGTGAATAAGCCACCATAACACTAGCCTCTTGTCGATGCCCTCGCGCTGTTGGAGTCTCTAAATTCTGACGAGCGAAGCGAGTCAGAGAAACCGAGGCGCTTGCGCTCGCTTCGCTCGTCAGAATTTAGAGACTCCAACAGCGCGAGGGCATCGACAAGAGGCTACCATAACACCTCCTCTTGCACTGCATGGGCCATCGCAACCTGCTTCATTCAATTGGGTTGTCTCTGCGCCTAGAGATTGTGCCTGAACTTGTCATGTGCATTTAAAAGGCTAAAATCTAATCCCTCGCATGCAACGGGCCTCAAAGATAATGACATTGGCGGCTATAGGCTTTAATCATCATGATCATAATCGAGGCGTCGGGAAATATACGGCCATCGCATGACGGATATTATGGGTTATATACAAAAACTCCAACTTGCAATTATATTGAAAGAGCATGACACATTTGTAATCAATGTACCTTTTGAATGAAAGTCTTTGTCCTTGATAAGAATGTCAATATCAATTTCCTGCAGATCAAACTCACCAGCATGGCTCAACAATTAGTATTCAACCTTGTAGTTTACAAAACATTTTACACAAACGACAAAAAAACTTCAGATTCCTAACATTATTTTGTCGACTCGTAATTTTGCAGAAGATTGAATGTTTCGGCCAAGATTCCAACCGAACAGATACTGGGCAATTTCATAGTTTCCAAAGTATACGACGTAAAACAAAAATTACCTAGCGCAAGCGATATAGTGTTTGACAAATATCGTTAAATGTTATTCCCAATCCAGGTAATATTTTCACCTAATATTAGTCAAAATAGAACGTCACTACTCCCAAAGGAAAAAATAAAATTTGACTATTGATTATGTGGCCCAAGAGCAAGTGCAGGTAATATATTTTTTCCTTCACATCGTCTCTTGCAAATACATAAATGTATCCACAGAACATGACAATATTCAATCGATTTGACAATATATACCATAAGAACCACTCTCTACAATGGCATTAGAAGAGAAGAAAAAGTTTCAAAAAAAATAATGATAAAATTGATCCGAAATTTCCAGTTGTAATTAACAGTATAGTAACTTAAGCCACGTAGCAGAGTCTAAAGCAATGCTTGTATCTTATAGACGCATGTGTGAAAAATAGGTTGTGGGGTTGTGAGAGGTAGCCGGTCTAGAGGGGGCTTGGGGCTCAAGCCCCCTAATAATTTATCATAATTTATTCCAGCAAGGCTTCCCCAAAGCTTGACCTAACAAAGTAACAACTTGTTTTAATCATTTTTTTTGTTCGGGAAGGGGGCCGGGGGTTGAGGGCTGTTAGGCTAAGCTAATTACCCCAGTGTTGTATTCGCACATTTTTATTATTATTTTTAGTTTTGCTGGAGTGTGCTTACCGATATTTCTGAGGCTGTTGTGGAGAGCGACGGCGGCAATGACCATGATATTGCCTACCGTTCCGATGACGGCGATTGCGATGGTCCATATCTGAATGAAGGTGTTGATGCCGACCTGGTCGGCGTAGGGGTTGATGAACCGTGATGTGTCGTTCGACGGCCACGTCGGCAGGTCCTGGGATCGAAAAAACGACGACGAAATTAGGAGTACAATAAGGGGGTTAGTTGGTCGCCTTACGAAGTCAGAACTCGCTCTATATTCAAGATATTGTACTTTGCTTTCCAAATGAATTGAAATGAAACGGAGTAGAACAAATTATATTTGACTAAACCAGTATAATATGATTTCAATCAAAATAATAAACATTGAATAGTGAAATAAAATAGAGAACAAAATAAAATGAAACAAGATAAAATAAAGTACACTGAAATGAATTTAAATGAAATAAAATAAAACGAAATAAAATAAAATAATATTAGATAGAATAAAGTTAAATAAATTCAGAATGAAATTGATGAAATAAAATTAATATCATATAAAATAGAATTGAAATAGAATTAACAAAGGATTGCCTAGTACCGTGTGATAAACCTGGGTCAAGAGTGACATAATTATATTTAAAACCCCTCGTCCAAGGATGTAAGTACTGGACAAGGATCAAATATAGGACTTCTCGTATGAGGGTACATCAACTCACTACAGTGCTCTAACAAAGCGTTTTCCACCTTTTTTTAATTCACGGCGCTCTTACAAGAAATGAATAGTTTCATGTCAACACAATCCCAAATCAATCCATTGATATTTATTTTGCATCACTCTGGCACTCGTCAAGTACAATGTATACAAGTACGGGCACGTTTTTTTTTTTTTTTTTTAATCGTGGACGAGCGCTGTAATATGTCACTATGTAATATGTCACTATGAAAGAACTGTAAATACAGCTAGAAAATCTTTCTAGCTGTATTTACAGTTCTTTCATAGTGACATATTACAGCGGCGTAGCGCAGTTCAATCCACTAAGGGGCCGGCCACCAGCATCGTGAGGGCACTGGTCTCCGATTAGGCCTAAAATAAAAACTTGTTGTATTGCCCTTTAGGTGCCAAAACATGGGTCGGTCGGTCGGATTTTTTTTATTTTTGTTAACTTTTTTTTTGTCGCCCTCTTTTCAGTTTTTAATGCTTTAATACATGTGTTTCAGAGTCATCATTCCATTCATACCTTCTTCACCTCATAATAATCCATGGTTTGCAATGTTGTGTTGAGACAACACTCTGTGCATGTCCTGCTGACGAAGTTGGTTTTCAACTACCTGTAAAACTTGCTAGCAATGTGAAGATTGTTTGGAATAATTTTATTTTATGCATTTATATCCTAGACCTAAGTCAAACAAAATACATATTTTTTTATTCATTAATACAAAAAAATCACACAAAAACGGTTAAAAAAGAAAACTTGTTTAAAATGCCGACCGTAAATTTTCAGATTTTTGGGTCGGTCGCAAAGGGCAATACAACAAGTTTTTATTTTAGACCTTATACGATGGCTCAGTGGTAGAGCAATGGTCTTGTAACCGGGAGATCCCGGGGTTCGAAACCAAGTCGATGTACTCGTTCCCTTTGGTAAGGCATTCAACCTCTTTACCAAGTCTTAAAGCCGCCGGTCCACTGGTTGCTTACTTTAAAACATGGCCTACTCGTGCTTTCTTAGCAGTCAGGTAAAACTTCATACCATTCAAATGTAAGTCAATGATATATTGATAAACGCGAGAATATAGGAAGGGGTCATTCATATCTTCTATCGTGACAATCATCATCATCTCTATCTCCAATACAATCATAATCATCATATCCATCATCATCTTCTTCTTCATTACCATCACCATCATCATTTTCATTATCATCATCATCATCATCATCATCAATCTTCATCGTCATTGTCGTATTATCATCATCTTCTTCTTTTTTGTCTTCCTCTTCTTCTTCTTCTTCTTCTTCTTCTTTTTCTTCTTCTTCTTCTTCTTCTCCTTCTTCTTCTTCTTCTTCATCTTCTTCTTCTTCCTCTTCTTCTTCTCCTTCTTCTTCTTCATTGTATGTTTCAAAAGATATTTTAATATATTCCAAAATTCGCGAATCCCATCCATATCCCCATAAAATGCAACAAGGCGCAGCGAGAGGTGTACACGAATAATCACTTATAAAATAAGAAGGCAGCAAGTAAGGAAAAGGGCGTTGGAAAGTGGTATGACGTATAATACATCATAAAGAAAGCAAAGTACGACAGAGAAGGGAAGTAAATATAGGAGAGACGATGTGAATAAACACGACAGTAAAGGAGGAAGAAAAAAACATACGAGACAGAGAGGGAGAGAGAGAGCCTAGAAAGAGAGAAAGAGAGAGAGAGAGAGAGAGAGAGAGGAGAGAGAGAGAGAGCCTAGAAAGAGAAAGAGAGAGAAGGAAAGCCAAGATATAAGTCAAGAACGAGGGAATGAATGGAAAGTGACATTTTATGGGGATTGGATGCACATATGTTGATGCATAACAGTATACATATTTCAAAGTCAATTACAATCATTACTTGCCAAAGCCCTAAGTATGACAATTTATAAAACAATTTCTTTTTTTACGGAAAGTCATTATTTCTTATATTTTGTATATCAACATATAAATATAATACACATATATTCAAAACAAAACATCACCACTCACGGACAGCTGTCCACCCATGACATAAGAATCAGTAATAATGTTATTCCAGGTTTTCAATCATTTCATCTATCATCATCTTAATAATCAAGCCTACCCTCCTCCTTTTCATCAATGCCATCATCGTCTCCCCCGTTATCTTCATCATCATCATTATCATCATCATCATCATCATCATCATCATCATCATCATCATCATCATCATCATCATCATCATCATCGCAATGGTCATCATCATCGTCAACAAAAACGTCACTTGTCTTGCAAAAATACCAACATTCAAAATAAACAAAGATAACAAACAAAATGAGTTACTCACAGTAAAATTAACATCCATGGTATCTAAATCAGCAGAAATGCTATCCCAGCTATCCAATCAGTTTGTTGCAAGCTTTGGGAAAAATCATGCATACGACACAAATGACATTGGTAGAAATGATATTGGCTATCACCGCGGGATCAATGCGTTTGTAGCTCGCGCGCATTTAGAATAGATAGATTACAGAGCACCGCTGATGAATGGAAAATTCAAGCAGTTTGATGGGAGTATTTGAATGACTATAGGGAGGTTGTTTGAGGGGAGAGGGGGTAACAGAGGTTCCTCCCTCTCCCCTGTATGTGCATGCATAACCATATTTTCAGTATATTATACTGAGCGAATTTTCGGCTGGCGCAATTTTCAAATTTTTGGGAGCCTGAAAAAAAAAAATTAGAGCTCACTACCCCCCCCCCCCCCCCCCCCCCCCCCACTGATCAAAATATTGGCCTGCTAAATTTTCAGATTTCAGCACACTAAATTTCAAAATGATTTCAAATTTGGGCCCCCATCCCTAAACAATCCTGGATTTTACTCTAAAATACTCTGAAAAGAATGAATGAGAAAACAAATAAATAGATAAATAAATGAAAGAAAGAAAAAACTATTGAATAAATAAAAAATATTAATGGATACATTAAAAAAAGAAAACCAATTCATTTTAGCAAAAACCTTTAAGGCTGAAAATTGCTGCCAGCGGGCATATTTTTTCCCCTTCTTTTTTGTAGGCAATATGTGCATAATATATTAAGAGTGGATTCTGCTGCATGGAGGCTCCTAACCCCCCCCCCCCCTATCTCTACATACATGCGTCCCTAAATCATTTTGACTGTCTAGATAACGGACTTACTTAACTGAGCATGAGTCTATCCAATGTCGTCCAGAGCAATCGTCTTGGTAACACGAAATGCGTGTGCCATCATGAATAATTAATTGTGATACTTAAGTAGGGGCACATTCAGTTCAATGCGGTAAATTGTTTAAAGGGACAGTTGAATTCTTGCTCAAAGTGCATGGTTATTGCTCTTGTTCTTATATTTCTGGTGCCCTTTTAATAGATAATTTTTAAATTGGTAATTTGAGACCCCAAAATGTGTGAAATTTAGATTAAATCCGATCACACCAATTCAGCTCCACTTGCAAAAAAATCTGGTGACCGTTAATTAATTAATTAATTAATACAATACACGGGCCGGCTGGATGTGCGTATTATAATCAACACAAAAAAGCTAACAAAAAGCCAACATTGGCATTGGATGGAACAAAATGTATTAGGCGCTATGTCGTTTTTTCAACGGCAAGTTCAACATTATCGAATTGTGTGGGGCCCCACAAATATTATAAATAGTTATTTTACAGTCGTCTCTGAACCGATCACGATCAAACGAAGATGATTTGTCATATAAATTGTATGCTCCTTTTATGACGCTCAGTTTTTAATTATCTCACCTTACAATGACTTGTTTCGTGTTTCAAGATTTCAGATCAGTGGCGTGCGGTGAATGTAAGAATGTGCCATTTATAGGCCTATTCTTCTGACTGGTCTTTCTCTCCCTCGATTTATCATCTTCCGTTTGACATTTGATTGAGGAGAAGTGCCTATCGCAGCTAAGTAAGGCTGGAGCAGTTTAATATTTTCCATCTGAATTCCGATTTGAGCACCCACCGCACACACACACACACACAACCATTATTTTGTAAACATAAAGAAGCCAAGTGATCAATAAATTTCTAGTAAGCCTACATCCATTTTCAGATTGGCGAAAGCACCTCAACATCTTTATAACATAGCATGTTTTTCAAACTCTGCATCATCGCCACCATCAATGCTTTATTAATATAATTTACAAAAAAATATGTTTTAGTGTAGGCTTCCCTGAGGGTAATGAAGAACACATTCCAATGTTAATACCAATAAATAAAGGCCTATCATTAATCTATGACGTCAAAATATCGGGGTGTTTATACGGAAGAATACAAGGGCGTCAACTCGAAATAAATTAAAATGGGTTAATGTCAAATTCAGATATTGGCTCCCAGAAGACTATCAATTAGATTTATTAAATAAAATGTTGGTAAAGTGTTTTAATATCTACATGGCAATCCTCAACGTTCATTTAAACGAATTAGTTTGAGAGCATTTTTCATGTTCTTACACGCCGTTCAATTATGAGACAGAAATTGCTACATCGCGATGTCCTTCCTGGCCTAAATTTTGCTATTGTTCGAAAAATTGATAACCAGGTTTATATTTCAGCTCTCCCGCTGTATAAATAACTATTGATTTTGAAAGTTACAAATAATGCAATTGGTTTGCTTCCATTTCGTGTAAACAAAGTTGTAATAGGTATTCTAGATTTCATTAACCTGAGTATTGAGATAAGTATGAGCATGAAGAGAGGTCTTGGTAATGGAGTGAGAGAGGATAAGTAGGAGGGGCGAGGAAAGAGGAGAGAAGGTGATATAGAAAGAGGGAGAAATGAAGAGATAAACAGAGAGAGGCAGAGCGAGAGAAAGAGAGAGAGACATGGATGGGGAAGAAACAGAGAGAGAGAGAGAGAGAGAGAAAAAAAAAGAGACAGACATGCAGGCAGATATGGACTGAAAGAAAGATTTTTTAGTTACCGCCCCCAATAAGGAACTCCTTACCCCTTCAATTAAAGAATTGCCAATCTCTCATAACGCTCAAGAAGTTTATCCAGACCCCTTTTTTCTAGTTTTGTGTCTCTGGATATAACGCTTTACATAGTGATGCATAAATATATTTCATTATCAATAATTTTAGGTAAATGCGTGATTTGTTGGCATCATAAAATTGCCCAATAATCTGAATACAAAAAAGAGAACATTTTCTTATCAAGTATTTCAGGTTTGGCAATTCATTAACGCTGGTATCTCGATGATCAAGCCCACAGGCTATAGCATTTCTTTACTGAGCCTTCATCATGCAATGTTGTACACAACAATATGCTTTCTCTTTGGTCTTTACATATTTTTTAATGCAAAGACGTAACATTTCTATTTATGTCCAAACAGTTCCTTTCAATTATTGAAATATCAACGCCCTCCCCCCCCCCCCTCCCACTCGCAATGGATCCTTTCCCTCCGTGGTCCATGTATTTGCTCCTTTATACCCTTTTTTCCATTTCTTTTTTTGGTTGGGTTTTCAATCAGAAACAATTTCCCCCCCCCCCCCCCGCCTTTCCAGGTGGTGGAGTTATAAG